TTTTAAACTGGGTTCACACTGCGTATAGCAACGCAATACGAAGTGGATGTTCTCGAAAGGGAACGTACTCAGTTACTAACGTAACCTCGGTTCCCTGAGAGTAGGGAACGAGTATTGCATAGCCTGCCAAAATGACACAAATAAAAGGGAACGAGAATTGCATAGCCTGCCGTGCTATTATGCTATTAGGCTCAAGTGCTGTCGCTTCAGTCGCTTTAACCTTATTATATGGCGAAATGGTCTGCTTATATAGAGTACGTTCTTTTACATCTAGTCATCTTTGTCCTTATTTTGACTAAATCTGCTCTTTGATTTGTTCTTTTATTTGTGTTATTATCTTTCATCTTTTTTCTTTTATAACTGATCTAATTTCTTATGCTTATCAATTCTCTATCATAACTTTTAACTATTTTAGTTCAATTACATAAAAATATGTGCTAATTTGGATATAAGAAGTCAATCTAAAGATGCAGCAATGGGTTTTTTTTGTTGTTAAAATTTGAAAGATTTAGCATGTTGTATCTTACTCAATAGGTTAAACATTTGTAAATGAGTTGCTAAAATTGCATTTAAGGAGAGAATAACAACTAAACCAGTCTTTGTCCACTTAATTTCAATGATGTGAAGACATGAGAAATAAATCAGCATTTGCACCAATGGTCTGTTGGAAGAAAAAAAAAGTCAATGGGGCCCATCAACTGTTTGGTCACCAACATTCTTTAAAATACTGTATATCTTCTTTTGTGTTCAATAGAAGAAAGAAATTAATACAGGTTTGGAACGACTTGATGGTGAGTAAATGATGACAGAATTTTCATTTTTGAGTAACCTATCCCTGTTTCTGGCTTCATCTTTCTTTTTCTTTTATGCATTTTCATTTCTTTGCTGTCAACATGACTCGCTAACCACATGAACTTCTCGCATCTGTTCAGTTTCAGAACGTTCAGCAGAGCAGAAGATCAGACTATTTTTGGAGAGGGTGAAGGGGACCACAGATTGAAATATTAAAACTACTTGCACGATTTGTGGATTTTCTTTCTGATATAAAACGCTTTAATAATTATACTAATTATACTATAATAATTATATAACCCTTTTTTGGCTGCCTGAAGATTCTTTAAAAATTATCCTTTTGTGGCATATGAAAAGACAACAGTGTGAGTAAATAATGACAGAAATTTTCATTTTTTGTGTGTGAAAAATCCTATCCCTTTCAGTTAAATATATTTAATTGTATTTTGAAATATCTAAAATAACTATGCTAGTATAAGAACTAGCCTTATAATTTCTATGATTTTTATGATCAAGGCTCATCATGCAGTACGTAAACAGTAACAGAAAACCGCTTTACTGTACGTACACTGAGATCAGGAGGTGAGTGAGTACTTTGACATTGATTTCCTATCCTGTCATTTGTCCCAGCAGAACAAAGCATCCGCCGCTAAGATGTGTGGCAGGAAGCAAGTCTATAAATAGGCCCTTGCTGTATGCGTCTGAATAAAAATAACCTCTAAACTTAAAGTGAAGGTATAGCGCACTCCATTCATTGTCTCAGACAACAGTGTCACACAATGTTTTCTGCAGAGCATCCATCTTCTGCCAAGTCCTTTAAAAGGGACAGTTCACCCTAAAATGAAGATTCTGTCATTTTTTACGCACCCTTATGTGTTTTTTTTTTTGTGGTATTTTTGTCCCGTCAAAGATAAAGGACTTTGGTAACACTTTAATTATTTATAATACAATATAAAAGTATTTTTAATGCATTAATTGTGCCTTGTAATGCACCTTATAATGCGTTGTATGGTCTCAAGATTAATTGTTATCGCAGTTTTAATACATTATAATAATTAATTATCTATTCATTGTTACACCTTTAGAAAGTATAATGCGTTAAAACACATAACAAACCAACAATTTAAAATGTAACAAGGAATCTGCAAAAAAATATATAATGCATTTTAGTTTTGGTTACAATTATTTATGAAAAGATATATAATGCATTATAATGTACATTATGAATACCTTTATAATGGAGTATACATAAAGTAAAGTGTTACCAGAATTTTTTATTTAGCTCACAGTGACCATGTCTGTCTAAAAAGTACCAAAGGACACCATAAAACTAGTCCAAACGACTTATATTCCAAGACATACTTTCAATTTGTGTGAGGAACAGGCCACAGTTTCATTCCAGTATCATCCACAAACTTGAATCCATTGTCACTTCGCCAACCAAACAGAGCCACCCCGGGGACCTCGCAGCACATTGTGATGTGCCGTGTAGAGTGTCAACATTCATCTTCACCGACGGGACAAAATCTATTTCTCCAGATTGTCCTTCCTGTGAAGCTCAAATGCAAAGCATAGTAAATCACAGGTCCTCTGGTACTCTGCAAAGAGCTCAAAATCCAGTGGTCAGGGAACAATTAATCTTCCACGCTGGGCTAGCTTTACAATAAGACTGAGCATCTGAGGGGTCCAGATCATTAGGGACACCGTAAATGGCTGGCTGAAACTTAAGAGGTCAGTATACAGAACAGCACCGAGCATTATTACCTTTGATTCACAAGCTCCACAAGGACATTCATGATCATAAAATCCTAAAGTACAGTCAGTCTCTCTACTGACAATGTTGCCTTCTTCTTCAATTGGGAAGCCACATGTAATTGTTGGTTGATTATTCTATTGCGCTGCTACAATAACCAACCCCATCGCAGAGAATAAGAAGAAGCTGTAAGCGGTTATTCTCCGCAGGTTGTAATTGTGCTTTTGTACCCTGTATATCCTTGTTTTGAGAGAATCATGATTCTACCTCCATGGGAGAAAACGAATTGACATACTTTAAATCCGAAGCTAATTAGTTCCACTCAGTTGCGGGTTGTGACAGTCGTCACCTAAGGGCATCTAATGCAACCTAGACAGGTGTAAAATCTAAGGGTGTTTTTAACACCTGCGAGATGTGTTGAGTTTGGAGTTCGTTAAATTTCCAAGTTTGTTTTAGCTTGCTAGATTGTATTCCCAGGGGTCCACAAAAATAACACAGCAGAAAGAACATAGCACTGTTGGAAATTAATGACTGTTCCTTATTCTCCCCAAATGCATGAACAATAGAAAGAAAATGATCTAATTCTGCAGATTAAAATGTTCCTTTAGATTCACATTGCAATAATTGGTGCAATGACAATTTACATTATTAATACTGGATTAAGTTTTAGTCAAGAATATGTATTATGGAGGAGACCAGATTTTACATTGGTCATCAAGTCACCAAGAAAATTATACAAAAATAAACAAAATATCATAAAAATCAAATATTGAAATCAATGTATTTTTCTATATTATTCTTCATCTCTCTGCTTATCTACTTATTTTTCTGTGACTCTCGGCAGGCTACACAGTTACCTGACTGTATGTGAGTCAGTGAATCATTCACTGAGCCGAATCAGATTTTCATTCGAAACTCTGGTTTGATCAAGAAAAAGACGACTGAATGAGTCAATGAATCATTCAATAAACAGTTAAGTTGAAAAATGCCAATCCATTTTAGGGACGAAAGAGTCACTGAATCATTCGCTCATCATTTAAAACACTGATTCATTTAGGAACTAAACACCACTACTGTGTGTTCTTCAGAGATGTTTGATTTCGTTGGAGCTATTTCCATTGGCAAAGCAAAAATACGAGCAATACTGTTTTTAAAATGTAAGTTATTCAAAAATAACTGAACAGTTGAACGGATAAAAGCATCACACTCGCAATCGTACTGTTAAACTGAATATTAACACTTTCTGTAGAAACACACATTAGAACACTGGCGCAAGTCATCCACAGACCTACGTATATTGCAGTATGCTGGTTTTACCTTGCAAAGCTTTGTTTATGGTTTCGTGAATGAGGGTTTTTTTTTGTCATCAGCCTGATTTGGCTAGGTGGCTTAACCCAGTTACATGAATATGTAAACCCCACATAATTTGATTGGATGCACGATATGTGACGTCAACAACAAACTATATGTGGAAAGTGTTCTCTCTGTTTCATTTTGCTATCCTAACCAAACACAATTACAGATAGTTGCATATTGTTACTTACATAGCATTGCTTTTTTATTGGTTTCGTTTTTTCTGTTGATGAACCACTAGGTGAGAAATGATAGCTTTAGTGTAAGTTCTACCAGGAAGACTCTAATGCCACGTCATTCATTCATAAATATTAGGTATATCCAAATTATCACTGCTTGACATTTGGAGTATATAAGTACTGAACTCTCTGTTTTACGTTTGCAGTTGATGACGCTCATGTTCCCTACCACCACCAGGTTGGTCCCTGTCCATCCGTCAGGGGTAGACTTCGCCCCTGCCTTCATCTTCAGGCAGGATCAGCCAAATCTGCATCCCCAGGACTTGGACCGAGGACGGGGCCTACGCCAAAGAACTTTTCTATACAACTAGACATGAATCATTGTAGCTCACTACCACTTGTCAATACTTTATATATACCATGGTATAAATACCATGTAAATGTTCACCTGCCCTCTGAGTCTTTCTGTTAGAACCACTGCTCTACATCAATGTGTTCCACCACACCATGACTGTTCTATGTAAAATTGCCAACAATTTACTCAGACAGTCTATCATAAGTGGTACATTAACTATACCATCAATCAGATTTGCAGATCATGTTAATGCTACATCAATTTTCATTCATTTTAACTTGACATTCTTTACCATCGTTTTGGATTCTCAGGCAAACATTGAAAGATGTTCCATTGTATCACAAAAATGTTGGCCTCTAATTATCTTCCATTTCTATTCCTTATATCACAAATTCTCCTTCTGTAAGCCCATTGTTGCAAAAGCACTGACCCTGATGACTGCTGTGGAAAACAATTACACCCCCCCCCACACACACACACACCACCACCACCTCCTGAGTAATCACACAGCAATTATAATAATCCTACATGCAATCACCACAGTATCCGTGAACAAAGCTGCACTTACCCATGGCAAAAAAGGGGATCCCAAGCAGTGTAGAGTTAAATTTCCCATCAGAGATGAAAAAAATCCCAGCTGACGTCACGTTGGCGATGCATATGGTGAGGACACCCAACAGGCCCAGGAAGGGTTTCCCGCGCAAGCAGTCCCGCATAGAGCTGGAGATGGTGGCTGCCAGGAGCACCAGGACCAAGCTGACCAGTACCTCACTCTTGGCCAGTACTCCTGTCTTGTGGAAGTCCCGCCATAAGCTGAAGGACGTAAGCGACTGAATTTGCAGCTCCTCGCTGTCTGTGGCCAGCTGGTGCACCAGCTTACAGAATTCACTCTCCCACTTTTCAGCAATGATGTCCTGCACCACTGGGCCAAGGTTACGGAGGTAGTAGGTGATTTGGATGGCGCGAGCAAACTTGACCTGTTGGTCCCGGCTATTTGCGGACACAGCCACGCCGCCCAGCTGATGGCCAATAAAGGACACCCGACCATCCTAGGGCCAAAACAAAGTGGTTAATTTATTTCATTCAATAAAGGAAACTGTTATGAGTGAAATCCCATTTTAATACAATCTAACAAGTGTACTTTGCAATCAGTGTAAATCAACTGCCGTCCAAAAATGTTGAATAATTGGTACGCTTGGAACATCTGAGGATTGAGATCTGTAGTACAGGCTGCTGGAAGAAATAGCAATAGCAGCCATGTACCGATTATAAAACAGTTTAAAATTGCAACTTTAATCCATATACCTTAAATATAATAAAAATGAAATACATCCTATAAAATCATACATCTCTGGTTAATAAACCAATATACATTTTTACACTGAAAAAACTGTGCAGTTTACAAATGTATAGAGTTTTCCTACTCCAACTCCTGGCTGCATCTTAATATTAATTCCACATTATAATCATGTTTGATTTGCAGAATCAGCAAACCAGTTAATAAGCAGCTTTTTTGGTGTGGATTTGTTCTGGTATTTGAATGGATTTTACACACTTCAACAATGTATTAAAATTGTCTTCCATTTAAAAAAAAAACTTTCTCGAGGAAACAGTGTGAACTAAGTGTCTTTTAGCTAAATGTCAGACAAGCAAAACAGACCAGAAGAAAACACAAGCTGATTTCAAACCACAGCATGAAGCTGGATTAGGGTGTTAAGAGAATCTCCACCATTGAACGGCATCAGTTTTGCACCAAAAGAATGCAGAATGAATAAAATCCAGAGAAGATTGAAAGTTATTGTATTTTGCTCAGTAGTCCCAACATTTCAGCATCCAATAATGAGCTGGACAGTGCATCACCCTATGCTGAGTGAGTGATGCAGCCTTGGATGCAGAAATACAGCCTCAAGATGTTCTGAAAAAGACTGGCACAATATGAATGAGCTCTTGTAGAGGCCACAGTGAGCGCCTCATTCACACGGATCGTGCTCCTACTCCTACTCCTATGATGTAAGCTTGGGAAAACAATGGCTTGCTGCACTGTTGTGCTTTATTTAGTCTTACGTCTGTGGGTAGTGCAGCATTTTGATGAAGACTGTTTTATAGGTCTCAAATATTCAGTCTCAGTTAAGGTCATTTGAAATTTAACAATGTGCAATACACTGCAAGAAATGATTCTGTGCTACTGTTGATCATGAAAATGGAAAATAGAAACTATTTGACAGAATTATGTTCACGTTTTTATGATCAAAATTGGGCATACAAACATACTACTACATACTAATGTTTATTCTTGAATAATTCCAAATTTTATTATTGATGAAAATAAGCAGTTTACAAGCATTTCTCATGTAAACCCACCTAATGCTCACATTTCCAGCACTGGTCTTCCCAGCATGCACTGGGGCCTGAAATAATAATATGGTTTCACTGTTTCCCAAAACAATTGTTGTTGGTTTATTGTCATATTCAGAAACTTGTTGTCTTTTGGTAGCATGTGTTTGTCCCTCTAAAATGATCAGTTAGTTGATTCATATGAGTGTAGTGTTTTAAGGCAATTTGAGGCATTTTTGTTCCATAACCGATTATCTAAACACTCAAACCATACAAATAAAGGGGAATTTTGCTTTTAAAAACTTTTTTTGAGTGATTAAAACTTAAGAAACCTTCTTAGGGGAATTTAACAGTAATTTAAATAAATAATTGTTAGTAGCTCTTGTAGTTCCAATTAACTCAATATTTTAATGATCTGTTTCAAGTTGAATAATTTGTTTTAATGCAGCTCATCTGATTGGTAGCCTACTCGATTCTAAACAGTTGTTTCATTAATAGTACTGCTTATCTGTTGCCATAATTTTATTTATTAGATATAGTGCTCAAGGAAGGTACGTCCTCTAACATATCTGTTGTGAGAAAAATTGAGATAAAAGTCTAGATTCAGTAAGTGTTTTTTTTTTTAGTGTACATTGCATCACCAGCCTCAGAGTGCAGTGCTGGAGAACTATGCAGCTGATTCAGATGTTGCACATAGGCTACTAGAACACAGCAGCACCGGGTCTATTCATAATTCTGAGCGTTTCGTAATGTTTTATGAGGCACAGTCGCAATATGCCGAGCTCCCTTTTTGCAGTTTCATTGTTGCAATGTCGATCCATTGCACACAATTAAGCCCTCGAAAAAACCCGCTGTCTCGTTAGGCGGCTCGCGAGGTTTTGAAGCGCACAGCCGCTGTACTCCAGACATTATATGTCTCTTACCTTTAACGTTGTATTCGGATAGCTCACGGGGACCTTGGAAAAAGTGCTGTTAGACAGAACAGCTAAGCGAATGTCTTCAAATATGGTGATGATATCATCCAGGAGGCATCTCTTGTCCCGGTGGCTGAGGACACAGAGATGCGCGAAAGTGTAATTGAAGCCTTTATAATTGACACGCATATCCAGGACCTTCTTGTGCACCTGGAGCACCTGCTCGGCCAGTTCCAGTATATTTCCCCCTGATTTGGCCAGTAGAATGAGTCTGCCATATCTGCCGGGGGTGTGCAGGTCCGAGTACAGCTTGTGCTTGGACTGGTCGATGGGGAAGAGGCTGTTGGCGAGACTCCTCTCGATCTTCGCGAGGCTGTGCGTCGGGGCGACCAGGATCTCCAGGTCCGTTTCGGGCTTAAACCGGCTGAGCACCGTGGATCCGAAAATAATGGTCAGGACTGCGGGGACGGTGAGGAAGAACACCGGATGCCTACTCACGAACAAACCCAGCCAGTAGAAAGAAGCTTTCAGCCCTCTGTGTATCACTTGCCGCAGCATCCTCCTCCAGATCCAGCTTGCAGCAGATGATGCCCCGGTTCTTCCTATGAAGCACATGTGACATGTGGCTCCAGTTCAGTCAATCCGTATGAGAATACTCACTACACCTGTGAAGCACTGCAGCGATTTGCAACAAGACAGTCAGATATTGATCACTATAGAGGCTTTTTGGTTCCATCCCTCCCCCTGATGAGTGACTGTTTCCCTCGCTTCTTCTGCTGCAACAGCAGCCAGCAGCCCCTGTCTGATGTGCATGTGTGCTTAATTCGGACTATTCGATCGGAGGCGCCTGATTTATGGGCTTGATTGTAACCATGTGCTGCTGTGTCCATGGAAGGAGGCACGACGGGGAAATACTCACTGTGTGGGTGGGGGCTAATTTTTAGAACATGCACGCGCGATTCAAAGCCTTTGCTTAATCGTGCACTCACCTCTTGAAATAGCCACTCGATTACTAATGAATAAGGCATTCCCATCTTAAAGAAAGGGCGGCAGTCCACACACAATGCCAAATGCAGTTTCGGTGCAGAGACGATAAAAATAATGTTGACCTAAATATACGTGGCTACTCATTTAAAGTCCTTCGGAGTTTGCTGATGAAGTGACTTAGGCTATTTATCACGAACGAAACTTATCCATCACCATGAAATCAAAAGTGGCCGTTTTTATAATATGGAATATTGCAGTATTTATTATAAATTGTTTTAATTATTATTATTTATGTTCCATGTAATCTTTAATCAAAATAACTTCCCATCCCTCTTGCAACAACAACTCTTCTCTGATGACGTGTTTACTGACGCAAGGGCGGGACAACCTGTCACTCACATGAGATCACATCAATAGCAAAACACAAAGATCTAAATCTAATCAATTTCTAATGGTCAAGTCCCACCCAACAAATTTCCTTGTTCAAGAAACCACTCAGATACGTCACAACAGGGAAGAAAAAACTATAGCAACTTCTGTTTCGCTGACTCTACTTAAGTTAAAGTTAGCCAAATATTGCATTATTTATAGCATAAGCACTTATATTTACACATTTAAACAGTGCTTTCACACGTTTCACTACAAAAGATGTGCAATGCAATAAATAGACATTTCTAACAGATGTTGTGTCGGTAACCATAGCAACAGTATTTTTGCTTTCCATTATTCAGAAGTACTTTGACAAATCCTGACATTATTCATCATTTTATTATGGCTTACACTACATAATATTTTCTGCTATCCTTTAAATTTGTGCTATCCTTTATTCACTAATGATTCAAAGACAAAGACAGGCCTAACTCTGAATAAAGCTCTCTATAATATAATGGCATATCAAGCAGCTATTTTCCCTTTTTTTTCATGATTGTCTGCATATTGTACAGCCTTCATCTCAGAGCTTCAGTGCTCTGCAAAAAATGTAATGAAATATCAGCCTGCTGTGATTCTTCAGTACGAATACTACTGACTACTTGAAATATTGAGAACCTTTCTTCTATGTTAAAAGCTTTATGTTTTTATTTCTTTGTGGAGCTGAAGTATTAAAGCCTCTGAGCACAGCAGAACACAGGCATAACCAAAAATAGATAAAAATAGAGCAAAAATAGATAGCTACTGTCCATTTACTGGGAAAAAAAGATCCCTATTACCTCACTATTCTTATATACATACTGAACAAAATTATAAACGCAACACTTTTTTTGCCCCCATTTTTCATGAGCTGACTTTTTCTATGTACACAAAAGGCCTATTTCTCTCAAATATTGTTCACAAATATGTCTAAATCTGTGTTAGTGAGCACTTCTCCTTTGCTGAGATAATCCATGAATTATTTTTATCTTTATGTATTGAGAAAAAAAAGAAAAAAAGTTGGTTGATTGTGGCCTGTGGAATGTTGGTCCACTCCTCTTCAATGGCTTGCATTTTGATTCATGATTAAGGAAATGCTTTGCTTTTTTTTTAAGAGACAGTGGCTCTGGGAACTTACTTGAGGCTCTAACTTAATTAAGATCTAAAATATAATTTACAAGCCTGAAATATAACCTGTAATAAAAACTGGGGTACTCCATTACTCGTTTATATGATTTCATACTCTGTAAATAAATAGCAATGACAACATGATGAACAAGTCTGTAACATTTTTGTAAAAAGCCATAGTACCAGGGAGTCAAAAAAATTGATTCAACCAAGAGTGAGGTAGTAAAGAATAAATTCACTGTGGAATATAATAATTTCCCATTGTTATTTGTCATTTTCACTGATGTTCTCTTAATGGCAAGTAACATAAGGTGTAAGTGAATCCATAGTTCTAAAGAACTACCCATTTTAATAGTTTTAATAGCTGACACAAAACTTAGATCACTCTCTAAATAGCTATTATGGATGCATGTACTTGTTGTTTGTGCAATATTTTAACAGAAGCCCCTCATAAAATAATTTTCTGCACTGCTGATCATGTGTGACTGCAGAGATGACCTGTAATCCTGTTTGGTTTCAGCTTCTTCATTACATGGATGATGTTGTGTTTACAACCTTTGAATGCTTAGACATGATCATCAACACAAAAATGACTATACTTTGGATGCTTGCTGTGAAAAGTAAGAACTTTGAGCACATCTGGAAGCAAAATAAGTAGAGAACAACTGCATTAAACAGACTGTTTTGTAATGGTACACACACACACACACAAAAAGTAATCAAAGTCAATGGATATGTCAAATTGACTGTCAATGGAGAAAGATGTATTTGGCCTGCAAAACGCTGTAGTTACAGCACACCAGCAAGCTAAATGCAGAAGCTAACAAGCCAAAGCACTGGATTCACTCATGGATTATATGAATGATGCAGACAAACGCCTCCCTCTCTACGTAAATGTGACACGGCAGAAAGCAGCATGTTACCAAATAAATGGGATACACTGGAGACAGTCACAGATTAGCATGGGCTTTGGCTTGTCCTGTTTATTTCCCAGACTTATACCAAAATGAGTGCACTCCTTTTCTTAGCATTAAACTTTAACATAAATTTAGAATACAGTAGATCAAATCTTAGGAAAGATATGCCTAAAACCAACATGTGACAATTATATGTATGTCGATACTCAACACCGCCCACCCCTTGTAAGCACTGAAAATGGAAACATTTACTGTTCCATTGTAAAGACTACTGCAGTGTTGCCAGTTCTCACTAGAAAAACAAGAAACCTGGTCTGGCAATACAAGCCAACAACAGGCGACATGCCTTACTAACATGAGTCTAAATAAGCAAACTCACTGTAAAAAATGATTTCTTAGTTTAACTTAAACATGAAGTAACCCTGGTTGGCTTAAAATTTTGACTTCATTGCAACCATTTTTTTTTAGTTAATACAAAGAAATAGATTTTGTTCTCTATCTTTTTTTGTATTAACTCAATTTTATTGTTTCAATAGCTATGTTTCCATCCACCTATTTTTTTGTGCATTTGGGATATCGCATTAAAAAAACACTGGATGGAAACTCAAAGATGCGCATACATTCTAAAAATGCTTATAAAATTGAGGTGGATACATTTTTTATCCGATAATAAGACTCATAAACTGTGATGGAAAAACATTTACAGAATAAATCCTTCAATGAAAATCTCACAGGACTTGCCTCAGCAGAGAATGTGATTGGATAACTGGCAGCAGACCAATTTCAATGCACAGCATCTCAAATGTTAGTTTGAACATTCTGAAACACCTGAGCCAAAGTCTGTCATCAAAATGATCCGAACTAGGGGTGTAACGGTTCCCCTTAATAAGACATGGCTCCCCTGAAAACGTGATTCGTGAAATTTTAGAAATTTTAGGTCTCAAAAAATATTGACAATGTTTTATTTTGACGTGCAATTTCAGTTTTGTGTAATGTGATCATCGTAGATTATTATGTGTAAAATAGCAAAAATATCATTCATTCATGCATGACGGCGATTTAAACATACTTCAATACAGATAACATGCTATTCTTGTCATGAGCATCAATGCGTGGTGGCGCTGCGGTGCAAATTCCGATCATGTTTAGTACGTTAACTCAAAGATTCGTAGAAAAAATATAAACGTTGGAGGCCATTGATCTGCGCGCGAAGTCCTTAAAATCCATTCTGTGTTAAGGTAGGCATGTTCTTCCCAATTATGTGTTGTGGCTGGGTTGTTATAGGTCTGCGTGACTCTCGATGTTTTAGGCCTAATTGAACGGAGGAATTATGGTATTCTTCAGTAGTCTGACGAGTAATTTAACCCTTGTTCAAAAGACATTTATAGACTATGTGTGGGTGGCTGTTTGCCTTCATCAATTTGTGTCGATTAAGTATAATAGGGTAAATCCTGTATAAAGTGATGGCATAGTGCATACACTTGTAGCTGTAGGCTATGTATCTTTGGTAGTCCTTGAAATTAATGGGTTTCACAGCGCAGCGCCGCGCATAACACGTGTTGTGCCGAATTTCGGCCCCCTGCCAAATTATTACCCTCCTAGCATTGGGTAGGTTTAGGATTAGTCGTGGGGGAGGGGTAGGATTAGGGGCGTGGTCAGTACCTGATTAGACAATCAGGTACTGACTTCAATGAGGGGGGTAATGTAATAATTTGGCAGGGCAGGGGGTCGAAATTCGGCACAACACCGCGTCCTGAAATGGACAAATTCACACAAAAAGTATGTCAACAGGTCCGTCTTGATGAGTAGCCTATCCTAGCAGACATACTGTTATGCCTTAATAAGTGAACTTATATGGGCAAGAAAGACTCTCAGTATCAGTGTAGGCCTACTGAATCAGCTCTGAATTGAATAGCTTTTGTAACTTTAATAAGGATTAATCTTTTATTTATACAGAAAAATATGCAATGTTATTTTACATTTGATTATTTAATTTAATTTCTGTACCTGAAAACTAATGTTAGACCTACCTGAAATGCAGTTTATTTCATTAGTATCTTTGCTCTATTATTGTATTATTTAGTGCTTTTGCTTGTGGTTAGATTTTTTGTTCTTATTTTCTTTATTTTATTTGACAATCTTTTTTTACCTGAACATAGCACATACCGAACCATACCGAAACCGTGACCCTAAAACCGTGATACAAACCGAACCGTGAGCTATTTGTACCGTTGCACCCCTAATCCGAACGCAGGATAACATGCCAGCGTTGTTTGTTTCCTCTGCGTCATTTATGATGGAGGAAAAAATAGCCACAGTGGATTCCCCAATTGCAGCAACTTTTTTAATTGCAGATATTTTGCGCCAATTTCCCAGGAAGTGATGATTTTTTTCTCTTGAACACATGGGATGGAAACTGCTTTATTCGCAAATGTTTTATGTGATATTCCAATT